CAGACTTGATGATCTATTGAGGTCCCTTCCGACCCTAACATCTATGAATCTATGACACCAAGCTGGTGGGAGTAGTGGATACACTGGAGAATAGGGCTGGGATTCAGAGAGATCTAGAGAAATTGGAGGACTGGACTAAAAGGAATCTCATGATATTTAGTGAGGATAAGTGCAAAGTCCTGCACTTAGGCTGGAACAGTCCCATGCACTGGTACAAGCTGGAGGCTGACTGGCTGGGCAGCAACTCTGCAGAAAAAGACCTGGGGGTTACAGTGGGCAATTAAGTTGCGTATGCGGCAACAGTGCGCCCTTGTTGTGCTGCAGGCTAACGGCATACTGGGCTGCATTAGTAGGAGTGTTACTATCAGATCACAGAAAGTGATTTTTTCCCTTTGTTCAGCACTGGTGAGACCACATGTGGAGTACTGTGTCCAGTTTGGGTCCCCAGTCCCTGTGTCGTTGTCCCGTGTGTGTGTGTGTCCCCGAAAGAATTTGGATAAATTGTAGAGAGTTCAGTGGAGAGCAACAAGAATGGTTCAGGAGTGGGGCACATGACTTCTAAGGAGAGGCTGAGGGAACTGGGTTTCTTTATTCAGAGGAGACTCAGAGGGGATTTAATAGCAGCCTTCAAGTACCCGAAGTAGGGTCAAAAGAGAATGGAACTGGACTGTTTTCAGTGGTGGCAGCTGACAGAACCAGAAGCAATGGTCTCAAGTTGCAGCAAGGGAAGTGTAGGTTAGCTATTAGGAAGAATTTTCTCGCTAGGAAGGTAACACAGCACTGGAAGAGGTTACCCAGAGAGGTGGTGGAATCTCCATCCTTGGAGGTTTTTAAGACCTGGCTAGACAAAGCTCTAGCTGGAATTGATCTAGTTTGGGGATGGTTCTGCTTTGAGTAGGGGGTTGGACTAGAAGATCTCGTGAAGTCCTTTCCAACCCTAATTTTCTATGGTTCTCTTTCAAAAACAGGTATAGGTAACTTCAGCTGTTGTTTTTCAATGATCTGTTATCATTTGATTGGTGTAAGACAGCAGTGTGCCAGTAAATCATGTCAGTTAATTTGAGCTCCCTCTGGTGGCTTGCCAGAGAATTGATTGTTCACGAAAGGTTGTTTAGATTGGTGACAGTCTCTCTACTGGAAAAAAAAAAAAAAAAAAAGAACAACGAAAACAAATGAACAAACAAACTCTGCAAAATACAATCCCCGCCAGATTCTAGTTTTAAAATGCGATGAAGTGTATAATTTTTGCCTTCAGTATGCATAGGCTCATCTCCTAGAAGTTTTTAAAAACATTAGCAGAATTTGAATTGCCTGTACGCATGTTTGGATGCCCTCTCTCTCTCATCTCCCTCCTCTTTGAGCTATTGATGTCTAGATTTTTATTCTGTTTCAGTTGATGCATATTTTGTAAATAGAGCACTTGGTATTTTTCTACAAGCATATTCATTTTGGTGGCAGGAGGCAGAATGTGTGATGCATGTTCCTCTGTAGTGGAAAGCTATACAGCAGGGGTCTTAGAGGTCCTAAAGTCAAGCAGGTGGCAAGTAGATTTTGAGGGGTAATTAAGTCGTCCCGTTCTCCCCCCCCCCCCCCCCCCCCTTTT